AGCAAAATTGTGTTAAATTATTCATTATTTTAGGCTAGGGGAAAAAGTTGTTGAAATATGAATTAAACAAATATATTTAATAAATTTATTTTTTAAACATAATACAACGGAAAACCTTATACAACAACTTTTTTTTTTATTATTATTATTATTCACCCAAGGCCCGAGGGGGGCCACTACAGTCAAGGAGGCTACTCATTTTTTTGTGTTTATTTTATTATTATTATTTTTTTTGTTGTTGTTACTTGTGGTACAATCCTCTCTCAACTCTTTAACTCCAAAACACGAACCTTGATGAGCAAGGCCGCTGCGCGGAGAAACTAAGTTGAGCGCGGTACTTTCAGGAACGTGGTAAGAGTCGAACTCCGAACCTCTTATAAAGCGAGCGTTCATACCACTACATTACTGTCGCATTTCGCACCTTCTTGCTTTATCTTTCTCTCTCACATACTGCCTATAAGTTGTACAGCACACAACTTATAGGTGGTATGTGATAATAAATCTCTTATAGAGTTTTTCTTTTGCACCTTCTCGCTTTCCCTGATAGTACTAATTATTTGAATTAAAAAATTTAAAATTAAACATAACAGTTATGCAATTGAATGTATTATTAAAAAAATTGAACGTTGCTTTGATTTCTAAATTAAAAAAAAACTCCAGTTGCAAGGGGATAACCAGTGATGTTCAAAAAGATATTGAATCCAAGATTCAATGCAGCATGTAAAACTTACATTCACATTTCAAAATTTTTTGCCAATATAGCAAGTTATAGATCGTACTAGTTTAAAAACTATACAAATATATATGGAGCTGGTCATAGTATGTAATGTAAGTCTTACGTTTTCTCAAAATGTAAAAAATGTGACATCACTGGTTTTCCCCTTGCACCCTTCATATATATATATGTATATATATATATATATATATATATATATATATATATATATATATATATATATATATATATATATATATATATATATATATATATATATATATATATATATATATATATATATATATATATATATATATATATATATATATATATATATATATTCATATATCAAGAATGTTCATTTCTTAAAGCAATTATGAAGTTAAAACGGTTCTAGCCTAAATATTCAAAATTTTGATGCTTCATACCTGGAATTGGGTCCAATTGGACATTTTGCCGTTTCTATACTGTAATTTACTATGCAAGTTTCATCCTTGTTTTTTATTTAAATTTTATGCACCAACTATCAAAAAACTTATAGCTAACATTAATTGAACCTTTATTTTAGAATATTTGTAAGTTCCTTAAAACATTTTTATTTCAAATTTATTTTTCAAAATGTGTATACAATAACGGTTCTGTTTAAATTCAACGCACAATACTAAAATCATTTTGTAGTTTTTTGGAAATAATACATTTTTTTTTTGGTAGCTGAATCCAATAATTATTGAATAGTTTTAAATATTTTGAACATCATTCACAGGTTGAAAGAGTAATTTTTTGCTCATGGAAAAATTCTAAGAAATTCTGTGTTTACTCAAATCTAAATACCTTGATTTTTTTTTTTAAATAATGTACACTCAAAACAAGTTAATACCTACCTGATATCAAATGGCGAAAAGTAAAGATAAATGGTCATTATATTTTATCTTATAAGTTGGCTACATAAAACTGAAGCCTTCTTACTAAATAAACTTTTTAGTTCTAATTCTAATTTAGCTCTAATGCCCTGAATCTTGACTTAGATGATGAATAAAATAATCATGTAACATAGATGTTACCTCCTCTGCCCCCTTTTTGACTACAGTTTTATCATAGCGATAGATAAACACATTTTTTCTCGATAGCGCATGTATGTTAAAAGAAAGAAATAAAAGTTATATCATATAAATATAATTTTATACAAGTCTTTTAAGATAATTTCATTGTTCCGTGATCTCCTTCTTGTGACTTTACAGACTGTAGTAAGGCCAGCCAGAAAAGAGTCTTGGTTTTTTTTGCTCAATAATGCATTGAAAGATTCTAATAAACGAGCTCTATTATCTACTGTGACAACTTCAAAACATTTATATCGTGTACATTTGCAGTCAGGTCCTGCTGTATAAGACGAAAGTTTTTGTTTTTTTAGTATTTCGTTTGATCTCCATGTAATTTTCCTTTTCTTGGGGTTATTTGTTAATTCACAGTGTTCATCGCAATCCGCGATATTTAAAATGCTGTTTACACAAGATCGTTCCCTCATTGGACGGTGTGATCATGTGATTAAAAATATCACATGACATTGGTGACCGTTTTTTCCTCTATAAACATTGGACCATGCCACTTTTTCCATTGTGTAAGGTTTTTTATTTTTTAATTATCATTTGGATATTTTCACTTTTTTCGCTTGAAATGTAATAAAATACAAACTATAGAAGTCTATGCATAAGGGGAGGGGTAATAACTAAAAAAAACCAAAAACGCGACTGTGCCGATTTTTCCCCTGGACTTTTCATATACATATAAATCAAATTTTATACAAATTTTATATAATATGTTAAAAAAAAGTTTATTGTTGAAATTGTTGAAAAGTAAAAATGAAAACAACTTTTTATGTTTAATCTATAATAAAAATATTTAACTTACATTACAACTCTAGTCCTTTAATCTATTTCAAAGAATTATGCAATACTTGTAGTAATGCAATATATATTATAGACTATCTTTCAAAAACACCATCTTGATCAGCGCTATGCATGAGTTATTATTTTATACAAAAAAATGCTGTTTTTTTATGTTTAAAAAATACTAACATTATGATGTCTACTTTAGTAGAATTTAACATAAAATAAATGTGACGATTTTTGCTATAATAATTAAAAATATTTCTTTAAATGCTTTATTTGCAACTAAATGCTTTAAATGTGACTTACAACTTGGAATTTTTTTTTTTTAATTTAAAAACACGTTCCTGTTAAATAGGATATTATATTCTAAACGTAAAAATAACGCACACACTTTTGCAGTTTTAAAAACCATTTTAGGTTTTATATGGATGTATGTATGAAAATATATATATATATATATATATATATATATATATATATATATATATATATATATATATATATATATATATATATTATATATATATATATATATATATATATATATATATATATAAATATATATATATATATATAAATATATATAAATATATATAAATATATATAAATATATATATATATATATATATATATATATATATATATATATATATATATATATATATATATATATATATATATATATATATATATATATATATATATAAATATATATAAACTATATAGTTTCACAAATATATGTTTCATGCTAAACGCAATCATCAGGTGTAAAAAAAAATTTTTTCTTGTGAAAAAATAATAAATCTGTACAAAAGAAAATGAGTTATATAAATTTAATCTTTTGGTTGTGGTTGTCCAGCAAAAACTTGTTCTCATGGCGGCATTTAGATATTAGTGTGTTTTTTGTTTAATAATTCTTGAGGATTTTTATACAATAAAATAAATAGTTTTTTGTATAAGCATAACAGGCCTTTTTTGCCTGCTATGCTTTTGCGAAAAACTAATTTTGCTATGATCGCTTGTGATTCGCTGACCTAATTTTCCACCTGCCCTCTGTTTAACAAATATATGTTTTGTCGGTTGTGTTTGGGAATATATAAATTATATTTGTTTTTCTGCAATTTCTGTTCATAGGGCAGATTTCGCTTAGTTTACAATTGCAAGCTAAAGTTGCCATTGGGTTCATCGAAATAATTTTCTTGTTGTGGTTCTTTAGAACTTTTGCTATGTTGCTTGTATAGCTGTAGCTGACTTTTGTTGTATTGCGGTTAAATAGTTTATGTAACGGACTTGATTTTAGAAAGTGTTTGTCAAAATATTTTAAGAAGATTTTGCCTGTATTTGTGAGAACGTTTTTAAAGTATGGTGGGTTACACCAGATTATTTTTTTTTTCTTTTACGATTGGGGGTTACTTTGGTATCAATTTTAGGGTTGTGTTTGAAGCTAAAATCTTTGAACCCATTTCTTTTTAGGGCTTGGTCATATTCTGCTCTTGCCGGGTTAAATATTTTTTTGTCAGAAGAATTAAATTACTTTAATTCATCGAGCACTCTCACGAAGATATATGCATTTACTAATACGTATACATATATATATATATATATATATATATATATATATATATATATACATATATAAAAATATATATATATATATATATATATATATATATATATATATATATATATATATATATATATACATATATAAAAATATATATATATATATATATATATATATATATATATATATATATATATATATATATATATATATATATATATATATATATATATATATATATATGTATATATATATGTATATATATATATATATATATATATATATATATATATATATATATATATATATATATATATATATATATATATATGTATATATATATATATATATATATATATATATATATATATATATATATATATATATATATATATATATATATACATATATGTATATACATATATATATATATATATATATATATATATATATATATATATATATAAATATATATATATATATATATATATATATATATATATAGTATATATATATATATATATATATATATATATGTATATATATATATATATATATATATATATATATGCAGTGTTGTAAAAAAATGGAAAACCAACAAACAAAATAAATGCTTTTGGTGAAGCTTGTAATTATAAGTTTTTATTTAAAATGATAAAACCTGTGACCCTATAAGCCTGTACTGTAAAACCATTAAGTGTAGATATTTTCTGTAATCAAATTTAATTGATTTTGAATGTTTTTAGTATTTTTTAAATAAAGTAAAAGATTCTTTTTTAATCAATGTATTTTGAAATTCTTATATGCAGTTTTGTTTCTGCAATTAACTTAGATTGCACTGAAACTGGTTGTGATGGAAATGAAGTATGCGTAGAAAGTAATGATGTCAATCAACAGTATTTTTGTCAATGTGATTCTAATTATCTCATGGAAAACGGAAAATGCATAGGTTAATTATTTTATTTATTTAGATTAAAAGGATCTTTTCAATTTTGCAATATGTATGGTGTTTTAAACATCATACATATTTAAAATCCATTTTTTCCATAGTCAACTAATTTGTCTAACTGATATTTTAAAATCATCACCAATAAGACCAGAAGTTTTGTAACTTAACTGATTTTATTAAAATGTTACTTAAAATTTTTTGAGAAGCTAGTTATTATTTTTTACCCTTTTTTTCAAAGATCTAACTTTGTAAGAATATTTATTTATGAATAATATAAGGAATGCTAGAATAAAAAAAAAAAATAATTCAAAGAAAAAATTTAAATGTTAATTTAAAAACAGTTCAAAGAAAATATTTAAAAGTTCAAAAAAAAAACAAATCGAAGAAAAATTTAAAAGTTCAAAAAAGACAATGTGAAGAAAATATTTAAAGGTTCTGGGTTCCATTTATGAATGTGTTTATTCCAAAGTAAATCTAAAGAATTACTATGAAGAAAAGTTTAACTTGTTTGTTTTAATATATGTAAAATATAATTCTGGTTACAAACATAAAATTGAAACAATCAAAATTCTGCCGACTACAACATAAATGTGTTTTCAGTATAAAGAAGTAGGGGTAGAATACAAGAAGCAAATACAAGTAAGGTTTGACTTGAACTTTGAAGTCTGACTTTGTCAATTTTTTAATATCAAAACTTTTTCAAATGCATAAACGCAACTTGAAAATTTCAAGTTCGCGCTTTAGAAAGTCAAACTTGAAAAACGTTTATTTGAAGTAAGTTTGAGAAAGTTTGATATGAAAGAAATTTTGAGATTTTGAGATTTTGAGAAAGAGATTTGAGAAAGTTTGATTTGAAGAAAATTTGAGAAATTCAAACATAAAAGGCTGTAGTTTTTATAGTGTAATCGTAAAAAAACACTTTGCAACAAATAGAGTCAGAGTATTTAAAAAAGGAAAACCTTTTAAATAAAGCAAATAACTATGTATTTTTAAACAATACATCTAAGATTTATTCTATAAAACAATAACTTACAAAAATAAATTAAAAGGTGTTACAAAAATAACAATTTTGACTTTTGCATTTTGTTTTTATTAAAGCTAAATAATTAAAAAAATTTAACTCCAACAAAGCTTCAAGAAAATAACAATTACATTTGGAATCAGCAAAAAATTAGTTAAAAATTATCCAAGCGGTTTTTAGTACCAGGACGAATATGATATATATGGAGGTAGAGAACAAAATCTGTAAAAGCAAGTGGTTAACAAGAATCAGATTTCATCTAATGTACGACCAAATATTTTGTTATAACGTTCAGCAATAGGATCAAAATCTGTATAGGTCAGTGGCGGAGCTAGAATTTCATGGTCTTTGAGATTTCATGGTCTTTTGAGCTAACCACCAGAGACAAAGCGAACTTTAAACGTTTGTATGTTTATACTTATGTCATATAAAGGTGCTTGGCAAATAATTGCCCCTAAGTTTAACCTGACTCTTATCATTCAAGTGAGAAGAAGAGTGTGGCCATTTGGTTTAATATATGAATTACAGAAAAAGTTTTTAGCATTTATTAAGTTTATTATGTAAACAATTAGTTTTGGCTAAATAAACCTATTTATTTTTTGATTTTTAGTAAAAGAGAGAAAAAGACGACTGGTGAAACTGGCCTATATAAACTTTAATATCCTAACAAAAGACAACGTTTTGCAAACATTGCAACAAAATCATTTAACTATATTTTATAACTTATAGGGACAATGCAATTTTAAAATATAAATTAATTAAGTTTAAAAAAACTTAAAAATTAAAAATACATTTACAACATAGATACAACTATTGATTCAAAACAAACTTAACTATATTCTTTTTTGCTATTTACATATAGCATTTTACAATATCAACATTATTATATACCAAATGACCATATCATGGAAGTTCATATTTGAAGCATCAAATGTTATTAGAAAACTTAAAGTCCCAGAAAAGCTAAAAAATAACATAATATAATAATAATAAAATAATTATGGCATAAAAATAAAAACTTACGAAAAAATATTCACAGTGTTACATATTAATACATCAATTTTAATTAACTCAATTTTAACGATTATTTTATTAGAGCAATCCTTTGTTTTTGAATGATATTTTTATTGATTGAGTTTTTTATTTACTTTATCTCAAATAAAGGTATTCTTTGGTGATATTTTTCAATAGTCTATGTTGTTATTCTTCGATAACTTAAATATTCATGAAAAAGAATCGAGTCATTATTTTAACTTCTCATACAAAACCTTTGGTTTACAACCTAAAAATTCTTTGGAACCATTTTCTTTATTATAATTTTACATTTCATTGTAAATCCAAAGATCATTTTGTAGAAAGGTAATCTTGTGAAGCAAAGCAAGCTATGTTAATGTCCATAAAAGTTTTTGGTTTTACTTGTAAAGGGATATTAAAACAAATTCGAAAACAACATCCTGCTGTCACACCTACGCTGATAATATGGGACCTTGTCCCCTATAATATGGATATGCTGGTGATCTTGTAAATCCTGTTTAAAGGCTGAATTAGTGAAAACTTGAGTTCTTTGAACACACCTAGTTTATAGAATTACAAACAGACAAAATTTCTTTTGAAGGACTTTTAATTATGTAGCAATTAAAAGAAAAATACTCTTTTGTATTGATACATCTCTGCATTTTCTCCCTCAGAACTTGTTATAGGATATGCTCCACCTATTGTTCCAACATTTCCTGGAAATCGTCAACGTTAAAATCTAAAAATTTTAAAAATACTATTTTTATATAAATAAAACATCAATTTCATAAAAACAAGCAATAACTTTTATACAAAATGTTATAAATAAAATTATAAGTGTATGTGAGTGTATATACATAAGTATACACACATACACTTATAATTTTATGTATCTTTTATGTGTTTCTCTTTCTTAAAGTTCATTATGAAGATAATGATTAACCTACCAAAGTACTTTTTTAGGCTTATTCTCATCTTCCTGATAAACTTACAGAAAGAGAAACAGCATGTCAAAGCAATTATAAGTGTTTTTTACTAATTTATAAATACACATACACACACATACACACACACTAAAATGAACCAGCAGCATATAATAGAAATATAATTGACAGTTTTTGTACTGGTGAAATGTATTGATATAGTATAAAAATAATGATTCATTAGTAATTCTCTCTGAAATGAGTAAACTGACAAATATTATTTATTACTTTTTATCACATATAATATGAACAAATAAATATGTTATACTTACAAAATAATAACGGGAATCGGTTTTTAAATTTCAAGTTTGCTTTCAAGCCTGGTTTTACCTAAAAAAGGACTTGAAGTATGATTTTTTAAGAACGAATTATTTTATATTTGTTTCTTGCACTAAACTTCAGTCAGACATCAAATTTAAAGTAGAACTTAAAAATTTAAGTTTGCTTCTTGCGTTTCAGAAAATATTTTTGTTTTTTTATTATGGCTTTTCAAGTCAAACTTGAAAACGGCCGGTTTTCAAGTTAGACTTAAGTTCATGTTTTCTTTTTGCATTTGCTCAAGACAAACTTCGCACTTGAAGTATGACTTCAAATTTCAAGTTCGCATTTGCTCAAGACAAACTTCACACTTGAAGTATGACTTCAAATTTCGAATTCTTGTATTTCACCCTAGATCTGGAAATTGGCTTGCTTCTCCCCATGGGGCAACCATGCACTGGCATGGAATATTAAATGACAACTTTGCAAAATACATAATAGTCGATCAAAAAACTGTTGTAATTTCTAAAATAAGTTTTAAAAAACTACTGGAAGCGCCAAAAACTCAAAGTTAAACAGATTTTTTGCAAACAATGGCTGCAAAAATTAGAATCTATGGAGATAAACTAGATTTAACAAAATTAAAAAATTGTAACCTTTCACCACTGCGATTGTCAATACAGGACCCTTCAAAAGTATTTAGAATTTGATAGTGTATTACTTATTATACAATGTACTATGCTTAGCCTAAAATCATAATATTGGCAAACTAGGTCTAGAGACTGTAGTTGCAATATGTTTGAGATCATGACAGTCACAAAAAATGAGGACTCAAGGCAAAAATTAGGTAACAAAATAGTCTTATTCAAAGAAATCACCTTAACTTACATAGTCCTCAAGAATCTGTGTATTATGTAAAAAAGATTACGTACTACTCAACGTTGTTTTGAATTTTATAGAAAATTTATTTTTTTGGGGATCACCCATCAAAAGCCATAATATTGAATTCATAGAGCATGATTAAAGGTAATGTTGATCTATGGATTAATAGTGTATTTATTTTGCATTCAGTTTAAGTTTGAAAAATAACAACTGAACAAATTAAGCAAGAAAGTAGTGTTGTCATTCTGGGCAGAAAAAATATGATGAAGTAATATAAATAATAATAAACGATCAAACTAAGTTTAAATTACTCAATAAAGATTTTACTATTAGTACGGTAACACAGCTTCAAAACTTTTTAAGAAAAATAAAAAGTAAACGTTTTTTTAACGATGAAATATATAACAAACGTTATCTTTATGATTCACAACCTGTTCGTATTTATGGTCTTCCATAAATGCATAAAGTATGTACTGAAAATCCAAATTTAAGTTTCAGATCTACCGTCTCGTTATTCTGAACCTGCAATTATCAATTAGCAAAGTTTTTAAGGGAATTAATGTCACCTTAATGAGTTTAAATGAATTAATGAGTTTTGCTCAAAAGATTCATTAAGTTTCGGAAAAAAGCTAACATACAAAGACTACATTAAACTTTGATAAAATATGGTTAAACTTTGCAAACGACTTTTTTGACTTTTTTTTTTAAATAAACTATTAAAAAATAAAAAAATAAATTTTTTTTTTATGATTTATTAATAAAAGAGCGGACCTTGTGAGAAATAGTATAATTATGAGTCTAATGCTAAATTTTAAAAACAAGCTATGCTATATGCTAAATTTTATTAGCTTTATGCTATATTTTAATAGCTATATGCTAAATTTTAAAAACAAGTCATCTGTTTAAACCACCTATAGCCTAGCGTCAAAACCGTTTTTATTTATAATAAAAGGTGTTTACTCTCGTGTTAGGTGGTTTAAAGTAAAAAAAAAGGTTTCTATTAATGTCAAAGCTAGCGAAAGATTTGCATATTTGTTATTGAATTACACATTTTTATTTTAACTTTCCTAGTTTATAAATATAACTTTTTTCATACATAATATATTCAACTACATAATAACTATATTTATTTAAATTCTCAGCTTCTCTTTACAATTTAGAATCTTTTAGTGATTGGAACTCATGGAGTGATTGTTCAGCAACTTGTCAAAATATTGGTGATTATAATCCAATTAAAACAAGAAATCGTACTTGTTTACGGGTTGACGGTTGCTTAAATGCTGAACTCACAGAAATAATGGATTGTAATCTTATGGATTGCACAGGTTTATGCTCTTTTGTTTTTTGTACGTTGTTTAATTATTAATGAAGTAATAATAATAATAAAAATAATTATAATAATAATAGTTTATATACATATATAATATATATATATATATATATATATATATATATATATATATATATATATATATATATATATATATATATATATATATATATATATATATATATATATATATATATATATATATATATATATATATATATATATATATATATATATATATATATATATATATATATATATATATATATATATATATAATTTAACTAAATGAAAAAATAAAAATTTATGATGGAACTTGACATTTCATGCTATTTCGGCAATCATCAGCCATATATATTTATTTTTTAATGAAGAAAAATTGGTAAAAATACAAAATACAAAAAAAACAATAGAATTGTTTCTGATGTCAAAACAAAAAATAAAATGAACGTAGAAACTAGAATCATCACCGGAATCGAAACAAGCCAGAACAATTTATTTTTATGCCTGCACTTAGATATTATTTCACTCCTGTAATTTAATAAGTTTGGATTTCTACACTCTCGCGGAAAGTGTGGAGTTTTGCTCCACATTTAACTCCGCACCAGTACGGTAACTCCTAGACACACATATATATAACTGTAACTCCTAGACACATATATTGCACACTTTTGTGTGTTTTCAGAACTCTGCACTAATGTGCAACTGTTTCTTGTTATTAAAATTTTGCTGCTAGATTGCTTGTGGGTTTGTTTTCCTAAAAAAATCATTTTTTTTTTTTTATCATCCGCGCTTTCCTTTTCATTTTTTACTTTTTTATTATCCGCGCTTATTTTGAGAATAATTTTTATTTTTTTAAAGAATCTTGGTTACAGAAGGTTTCTTTTATATTCCTTATTCAATTATTATCTATTATTATTTTATTTATAATTTTCAGGGTTACTTTTCGGTACATTTTTAAAGAAAAAAAAAAGTTAAAATTATTAAATGTAATTACTGACAATAAAAATGAAACACTATAAATACATGAAGATTTTCATATATAGATTTACAAAATATTTAATTCAGTTGACATTCTCTAAATGCGGAAAAGCAACAGTTTTTTACTTCACAATTGCTCTGGGACTTAAATGTTATAAATAATGTTATGCCAAAATTGATAATAAACACTGCAAAACAATATATATATATATATATATATATATATATATATATATATATATATATATATATATATATATATATATATATATATATATATATATATATATATATATATATATATTTATATATAAACATATATATATATATATTTATATTTAAAATTTTTTTTTTTTTCAACTTGATTAACGTGCCCCAAGAAGTCCTTACGGCCTTATCACAGAGTACCGCGGAAGAGCATTTAATAGGAACTTCACGCCTCCTTCTCAACCGATGTCGCAAAGCTAGCTCAGGGGTGGGGTTTGAACCACAGATCTTACGTTTCTGAGGCAAGTGCGCTACCACTGCGCCACGGCTGCACAATATATATATATATATATATATATATATATATATATATATATATATATATATATATATATATATATATATATATATATATATATATATATATATATATATATATATATATATATATATATATATATATATATATATATTTATATATATATATATATATATATATTTATATATATTTATATATATATATATATATATATATATATATATATATTTATATATATATATATATATATATATATATATATATATATATATATATATATATATATATATATTTATATATATATATAAATATATATATATATATATAAATATATATATATATATATTGGCAAAATAAAAGGGTAGATAAATAGATTAAATTTTACTTTACTTTTTATTTTAAGTTATAATATTCTTGTGACATTACAATACTTACTCAATACAATTGTTCATTAGATAACGCCCACAAACTTTAGAAAAAAGTAGTATTTCAGCTTTGCTAATAGGATCTCCAGGCTTTAACTTGTTGTCAATATCTGACCACAAATAGGAACATGTTTTTGCGTTTTCTCAGAAAGAATATTATCTACTCGCAGGTTCTAAAGAAATTAGTGAAATCGAAATTGTAATAATGAAATAATACAGCTAATATAAAAGTTTTCTATAATACAACTTTGTGATAAATTATAAAAATGCAAAATAACTAATAATAGAGATTATGGTTAAGATTTAATTAATAATTTACTATTAGGTATATTATTTTTTTATTACGCCATTTTCCCATTATAAAAAAGCATCAAACAAAGCATGAAAGCATCTATAAGAAAATGATTTTATAACTTTCTTATTTTGGCTAGTATTCAAATTACGCATATTTTTCAGTTCTTTTTAATCATCAAAACTAACCTTGAAAATTATAGATGTAGTAGCAGGACAGTTATTGTTATTGGATGAAGCTGAATGAGCTCCAATACTGCTCGATGAGCATTGTGGGGGAGTGAAATTACTGATGGTTAGAATGGTTTGTGATACAATAATTTGACTTCGAATCCAGGCCTGAAGTAACCGCCTCCCCGCCATTCTAAAACAAAGTATAACACGATCATCTTCTGTGGCTAATAAGAATGATTTTAAAGTAAATCCAGGTTCTAAATAAAATTATATATCAAAAAATATATCTTATATATCTATTATGATAAACTTTCATAAAAAAATTTAAAATACACCTGAAAATTCAGCATACCAATTAAACTTTGTGGTACTTCACTAGGAAGTATCAACAAATCCAGAACAGAAGCCAATGTGCTAATAAGACTCATTACTTAACCAAAATATAAATTGAATCTATATTATGATCTTGTCACATTAAACATAGATTTGTAAAATATTTTCCAAAAAATTACTAATAAAAATAATTAAATTATTATAATTGAGTAAAACTTATAAACTAAAAAATCTTATAATATATAAACAAACACAGAGTAACATAATTAAAATTTTAAATCTATATTTCCAGAGTCATATTAAAACAACTGCAGGGTGTATTCTATTTTAATAATATATTATTTTTTAAATATTTAAAAAACAATAAAAAAATGTGATAAGGCATTCTAATGAAGTGCCTTTTTTCAGAACTACAGAACAACGAATGACAGTAAAGCAGGTGATAATCAAGTAAATCATTAAGTTTAAAAATTTCACAAACAGGCTTAGGAGGATATATAACTTCGTAAGAAGGAAGGTGATAAGTGAAATATTCTGTTTTTAATATTTCTAGAACTAAATGCGATTCATCAATATTCTTTCCACCGCACATTTTACTTTGACTATTATTTGCACATGAAACAAAACAGACAACTTTTTCAAATCTCGATAACCCAGCATCCGTATCTAAGTTGAAAACAAGGAAATGATCTTGTTTGTATACAGCACTTGCAACATATAATGTCTTTGAAACAGCAGCTTTTTTCACATGAGTTGAAACACAGTGTATTCTGTAGAGTATCAAGATAAGGAAGTGAATAAGTAGGTTCAATAGTGTGTTTAACCACGGTTACAATATTGCGGATATATTTATTAGATAGTTGAGTTTCCAAGGTCTGCATCTGATGTCTGTTTGCTAGAGTGTAACAAATTTTGAAAATTACATACAATGTGTCCACATCTTTTAAAACATGAATTTTTGAGTTCATATCGCATACAACTCATGTTAACAAGTGGACCAGATTTCAAAATAATGGTTGGCAGATGTACAAGAAAATGATGCTTAGAACTTAACCTAACTTCTTTACTACAGTATAACTTACTAAACATATATAGATGATCAGAAACAACATGTTTTATATAAACAAACATTTCATGTGTAAAGTGTGGTGCAAATATCAAATCGACTAAATGGGACAAGTGAAGCAAAAATTTCCAGTGTTTATTTTTTGGAGGAACAGTTTTTCCTCTGCAAGTGGAAATCTGCAATACTTAAGCAGAGACCAGCATTGTACTGCTTTCATTAAAGGTGCAAGTACATGACCTGGTTCTTGTATTTTTAAAACTTGTACATGTTTATGAGTCTTTTTGACAGTTATTTTACTTCATAATAAACACATAGCTTTATTTATTTCAGATAAGGTTAGACACTTGTATAGCACACACAAACCATAAAAAATACACCCTAACTCAACAAGAACAATACCTTCTAGACACCAGTTATCAGCAACACGAAAACCTTTTTTATTAATTGAACATTCAGTCTTTACACCTCTGAAATGGATTTTTTATTTAGCTTCATTGCTAAAATTGATTGTTTTCAAGTTAGTCAGATCTGTTTTGTAGCTATTAACAGTAGGCTTTTCAAACAATTCTTCTTCAAATTTTGTCTGAATATTGTCCTTAGTTGCGTAACAAATTGTGCAAAAATAACTGGCGGAAAAAGATTCAATAAACCCAAGTGAACTATTGAGAGTCAAATTATCTCAAGTAACTTAACAAAGACTTGCATAAATTGTATGATTTCCTAAAACTGGAAATATTCCCTTTAATCTAATAGTGCTTAACTCATGCATTTCAGATACAAATTTTTCTAAAATTCGTCCGAATCCATAAATTGCAATATCATGAGTATAGCCCATTGCTAACAATTGAAAATTACAAAAACATGAATTAAATATTGGTGAAAAATTTTTTATTGTGCAATAAAAAACACTAATGTTATGTACAGAACCTTGACTTCTAAGTGGATTTGTTACACCTAATCCATCATAAAACAATTGGAGCGTAATTGAAGTTTTAGAGACATCACTAAAGAGGTAATGCTACCTAAAACGACTTCCATCAGAAAAGTCACTTAACACACCGGGTCTGCATTTTATAATGCAGAAAAGCTTCTACATAACTTTTGTTCTGAAATAAATTTGAATACTGTTTTTTTCACAGAAACATATTGAAATTGACCATACACAAAATCAGTACTCCCACAATGTGATTCTAATCGTG